GTAGGCAACCCGTCGCGCTGCCCGCTAGCGACAATTTCCCTTTTCTCCCGCACAATCCCCTCTTTTCCCTCCGATGCCCGCTAGCGACAATCCTGGCCCTTCTACCTGCGGCCCTTGCCCGCTAGCGACATACGCCCAATCATAGACAGGGCCCGAAAGATTGGCAACATTTGGCAGTCAGAACGAAATGCCAAAATTTTAAATTGGCGACCAAAACCAAAGCGGCCACGTTTACCGTGAATTAGATAGGTTCCTCGCTGTCCTTTTACTCGGCCCCCCTGAGGAGCCGAACTACCCCGTCAACAGGTGACCCCACGTGAGGTGAGAGAGAGGAGGCGGCTCGCGTCCGCGCGGCCTCACAGCCTCGCACTCTGCCCAGACGAACACGCGGCAGTGTTACACGAAACCTTGCAGCCTGCACTGTTTCAAGTAAAGTTGTCAAGTGGCGGCAAATTTCTTTGCTAATTTGTGATGAATGGCTGCTGCTGTACAACGACCCTGTTGTGTTTCGAAAATTACTATGTAAAAGGTATGAATTTTATTTTAAAAATTCACTCACTTTGGCTTTCACTCAACGAATGGCGTTCACACACCCACAAGTGTACGATATTCACACACTTGGGTTGCCGGTGCATATAACAACAAGAAATTTTCCCTTTTCTCAAAAAACTACTACTTTGTTTTTCAACAACTGTATCATCTCAATAATTTTGTTTTTCAACAAACATTGTTGTTTACAGCTTCCCTTTGGTGCATTCGGTTTTGCTTGTATGACAGCGCGTGTAACGTATGTGCGACGCTGTTGTGGACTCCAGTCCGCGGGCTGGACACCGGCCACCAGGCGAGTAGCAAACATGAATAGATAGAGAGGGTCTCTGTAAACAGGATTCTCCATTCTGTGCATAGGACCGAAGGGACTCTATTGAGGCCCCCTTCCTCCCGCCCCCCTCTTCCTCAACCCCTTTCGCTCCCTCGCTCTCATTCTCTCTGACATGTCCTTGGGGGAAGGAAGGAAGGGCTTCAAGGGGGTAGGGGTAGCAGGGGGTGGTTGGTTTATCCCCGTGGTACTCGGTTTATAGCGTCCGATGGGTAGACGGGGAGGCTGCGAACGTGCATAAAGCAGGCGGGCGCATTTACAGTGCCGTCACTGTGAAAAATGTTCTCGTAAAATTACAACGTTTTTACTGCAACTTTCATTTTCAAAATTATTTTGTCAATTTGTAACGGCCCATTTTTGCGTCGATCAATTCCAAGTCGCTACGAAGTGCATTTTAATTTACAATTTCAAATTGTAATTTTACGACACTCATCATGGAAGATTTTCCCATAGTCCTTCGACTAATATTCACGGTGTGCACACGGCTTATTATGGGTTTTTGTACTAAAAAGAAAGTGTTCTCTGAATGGCCAAACCAATCCCTAAGTACGACGCTCAATATGAGATTTGTTCATATCGCGAAAAGTGTTACTAGTTTTCAAGCGTGCAAACAGATTTTCCTCGCAATTGCAGCTGTGTACTTTATTCTTCGCACTACTAATGAAATTGTTCGCAATTACAAAGCAGCCCCTCCACAAAGTTTTTATCGGTAGTATAATCTCTCGCAATAAGGCATGCTTTCCGGCCCGCTACAGTCGTCGTTGTACGACGCACTCGAGGCGATTTTCTTCAAGTAGAGCGGCTGTCGGCCACGCAAAACCTTTTCTTGGTACAAAGCCGCGGAGAGGAGAAGGTGGAGTGCAGAGGAGGGGTGTCTTCTTTTGCGTCGCCGTAAGTCGAGTGGTTGTGGACGGCGGCGGGGCTGAGAGTGCGCCAGCTCAGAGCACACTCCGTGTAAACACACACACACACACACACACACACACACACACACATACACACAGATCTCTCTCGCACACACACATATCTCTGTCTGTCTCTCTCTCTCCCTCCCACACAGACGCCCTGGCGACACCGCCCGACCACTCACTTTTCCTCTTGACAGAAGCCGGCAGCGAGAAGCGGAAAGGAGGCGCGCACGGTGACTCTCGGCGGCGCGCGCGCTCGCCCGGCGAAAGCTTTCCTTGATATATCAAGGGACGGAGAGTAGAGAGTCGGTTCCGTTGTTTCCATAAAGGAGCGAGCCCTGCCCAAGAAAATGATTCACGGAAGTCCACCCACACGGCTGGGGGAGGCTGTTGTGTTGCCTTCACTCTAAAACGCCGCTTTTTGCTTGAGTAAATTTTAGGCGTTCCATTATTGTGACTCCAAAATTTTGAAATTTTGTAAAGTTACTGCCAATAATATTTGGCATCCTTTCGGCGTCTTTACATTGCTAAACAGATTGCCATTGAAAGAGGCCAAACGGCCAATCATAGGGGAGGTGGTCGCTAGCGGGCAAGGGCCTCAGGTAGAAGGGTCAGGATTGTGGCTAGCGGGCATCGGAGGGAAAAGAGGGGATTGTGCGGTAGAAAAGGGAAATTGTCGCTAGCGGGCAGCGCGACGGGTTGCCTACCTCCACGGCGCTGGGCTGCAGCGGAGTACGGCCCAGGGCGGTGTCAGGTCCCCCCGCAACGAAACGACATGGTGTCGGCTAGGTCTCGGACAACTTCAGGTCCACATGCCAAAGCGTTGCACGGAGCGATACACTTCACTGTATTATTATA